ACGTTAAAATGGTAAATATATGTTCACTTGTTTAGTACTATGCCAATGAATTGATTTTTTTTTTCTCGGGACTTTTGACTTGAAATAACTTTAAATACATACGTTTTTTTAGATGAAATATTTTATTTTGAGTTTACATTTAACTTACTTTTAGAAAATATTGAAACATATATTTCTTCACTTCAAAATTCTTTCACTACAATAAATGTTACATATAGTGACATACAAAAAATGTCACTATAAGTATAATATATATATATATATATATATATATATATTTTTGGCATATAGTTACACAATTTTAATGTTGATTTTGAATGAGATTTAACAACATATTTTGTGTGTCACTATAGTTTATACTCACACTTTTTAACAATATACCAACATATATTATATTTATTGTGTAAGTAAAAATAATTTTTAGTGTCACATAACTATATGTCAATTTCTCATGGTTTTGTTGGTTGGAACTGGATTTTTTTATTTTATCTTTTATCATATTTGTAAATCTTGTGAGATAAAAAGAAGTTTTCGTTTAAATGCTTAGGAAATCATACATTTCTTCAAATAATACTTTATATCAATCCAATTCTTACATATGTAAATCCTCCATAAAGCTCCCAATCCATTAAGTTAAAATGATATATTTTGCTAAAGACAATAACTAAAAGGTGTTTGCATTAAATTTTTATAAAAATATTAAATATTAAAAATTATAATGTAAATACATTAATTAAATGTTACATTTTCTAATCATATATTTTTTTTTTAACTTTTGATTTCTTAACTATTACTCTTAAAAATAAGTATTAACAAAATATAAAAGAAAATTACAAAAAAACCAATATGATTATATAAAAGTATATATCTATTTGATATATAACTACACACAATTTTAGTATTAATTTTGAATGAGATTTAATAACATATTTTGTGTGTCACTATAGTTTATACCCACACTTTTTAACAATATACCAACATATATTATATTTATTATGTAAGTAAAAATAATTTTTAGTAACACTTCTTTTGTTACTATAGAATGTGTGTCACTATACAACAATTTCCTTGTAGTATTTATAATCAAGACCGGTTTTGTAAATTTTCTTTCAAACACATTATAAAAGAAAAATAGTTTGTTTTTTAATCTAAATATTTAAATCTTTAAAAAATAAAATAGTATAATGAATAACTTAGAAGTAAAAAATAATTTGGTTAAAGATGAAGATAAATATGGATTGGATTAAATTGAATTGAAATTGAGATATGTTTATTTAATTTTATCAAATTTAACTGGTTTAGGTTGATTTAAGTTTTATTTTATTTTTTAGTTTAATTTATACGTTGATTCCTATAATTTCATAAATTTTATATGTTTTAATTCTAATAAATAAAAATATTTTATTTTAATCCTTACACACCATTTTGTTTACTTTAGCTTCCATCTATTTTTGTAAGAACTAGCTAGAATGTAAAGTTTGTATAATTATAGATATTAAAAGAAAATAAAAATGATATATATATATATATATATATATATATAGAAATAAGAACTAAAATAAAATAATTTAATTACAATGACTAAAAGATACTATCGATAAAATTATAGGACCCATAAAAGTAATTAAATCATACTTTTGAATCTCTAATATAAACCAACCCAATTTAATTATGTTTATTTTAGTGTAGATTTGACCATTGGATTTATTATTAAAATAATAATAATTGCTAAAAAAAAATACATTAGCAAATTTGTAAAATACATTCATCGAGTTCAGCAAGCAATCAGTAGTTCATGTAGGGATGACAAAATATTGACAAACTCATGCTCTAACCAATAGGTCTATAAAAAACTAACAGATCAAATTAGACATTTTAACTTGTCAATCTACCTAACCCACCCCTTGAAATGTCAGTCTCTTGGGGCAAATGACAAGATAAGGCAAGCTTACCTGTTTCGGTATCTTATTTTTTTAATTATAAGTAAAAATAAATCATATCAAATTTATTATATGAGTAATCTATAATTTGTTATGCAACAAATATTGTATAGTTGATTTATTTAATCTATTTATGCAATTTGAGATATTTTGCTCAACAAATCTGTTGAAAAATCTATTATTATTATTATAATTATGTCAATTTTATTATGTAAAAAATTTAATATTTTTTGTGTAACAAATAAAAAAGAAATATATTGAAAGATGTACAAAAAATAAACATGTAAATTTTTGTTTATTATATTTTTTGTGGGCTTGCTCATTACTGGCTCACCAAATCACCTTTAGGTGAGACGATCTAAGATATTTAGCCTAGTTTCACTTAGTGGACCAGCTCATTCAACTCAAACCATTTTTTTTAGCATACTAACAGTAGGACAGGCCTAAACAGATCATGTTAACCCGTTTTGTTATTCCTAATTTCAGGATCAAGTAAGTAGTAATTTTTGGTGTAGTAATTCTTATATATGATATTAACAATTGAAAACTTCTTATAGCCATGACTAATAATTTTATTAAACCAATGCTTGTCAATACTATAAAAGGACACTATTAAAGCATAGTTGTATACGTTAGTCTTTACCATCAAACCTGTACTGACCGTACTTCGCACCCGGGCTCCGAGCCCGGATTAGCGATACAAAGCTACCCCGGGCACACGCTGAGCGACGTCAGCCCGGTATTTGGGGCCCGGTATTTGGGCAGATCATTCCCGAACCCGGGGATCTCGTCCCAGATCAGAACCGCCCTCCAATTATATCATATCATATCTCATCATATCATATCATATCATATCATATGATATCTTATCATATCATGTCTTATCTCATGCCCAAGGCCCAAGACAACCCTAATTCACACAAAGGTATGTGCATTATTTATACGAGACTCATACTCCCACAAACACTAACTTTAGCA